CTGCAGAATCATGCTCAGCGCAGAATACTCCGGCTTCACCAACGCTCTCTCCACCCTGGAAATGCCATCCCTCATGACCTCCACCACCAAGCACTGGAATCATCGCCACCTCCTGCCACCGGCAGTGAGTCGCCACTACAACAATTCAGCCCATAAGAGCCCGCACGATAGATATAAGACAGCACCATCCTCACCACTCCTGCCACCTGCAGTCCTCTGCACCCCCGAGCAGTCCGCCATCACAACATAATTCAGCCCATAACAGCTCCGGCAGACTGATAGATATATATAAGAACAGCACCATCTCGCCACCTCCTGCCACTCCAAATCCCCCGCCCCACCTCAAGCAGTCCCAAGCCACTTACAACATAATCTGCCCATAAGAGCCTGCACTGGATAGATATAAGAGCAGCACCATCCGCCACTCCTCCCCAAGCACCTTGCAGTCCCCGCCCCCTAAGCAGTCCGCCACTACAACATATCCAGCCCATAAGAGCCCGGGACTGATAGATATAAGAGCAGCACCACCTCATCCACCTCCTGCCACCTGCAGTCCCCGCCCACCCCACAGGCAGTCCGCCACTACAACATAATTCAGCCCATAACAGCCCGCACTGATAGATATAAGAGCAGCACCACCATGCACTCGCCACCTGCAGTTCCTCACCACCCCCCGCCCACCTCAAGCAGCAGTCCGCCACTACAACATAATTCAGCCCATAACATTCGCGAGACTGATAGCCACCTCCTGCCATATAAGACAGCACCACTCGCCACCTCCTGCCACCTGCAGTCCCGCCCACCTCGTGCAGTCCGCCACTACAACATAATTCAGCCCATAACAGCCCGTGACTGATAGATATAAGAGCAGCACCATCCTCCACCTCCTGCCACCTGCAGTCCCCTCGCCCACCTCGAGCAGTCCGCCACTACAACATAACCAGCCCATAACAGCCCGCACTGATAGATATAAGATAGCAGCATCCTCCGCCGCCTCCTGCCACCTGCAGTCCCCTGCCCACCTCGAGCAGTCAGCCACTACAACATAATCAGCCCATAACAGCCCGTGCACTGATAGATATAAGAGCAGCACCATCCTGCACCTCCTGCCACCTGCAGTCCCACCCACCCTCAGCAGTCCGCCACTACAACATATTCAGCCCATAACAGCCCGCACTGATAGGATATAAGAGCAGCACCATCCTCGCCACCTCCTGCCACCTGCAGTCCCCCACCCACCTCTGAGCAGTCCGCCACTACAACATAATCCAGCCCATATAACAGCCTGCACTGATAGATATAAGAGCAGCACCATCCTCGCCACCTCCCTGCCACCTGCAGTCCCCCACCCTGAGCAGTCCGCCACTACAACATAATTCAGCCCATAACAGCCCGCACTGATAGATATAAGAGCAGCACCACCCGCCACCTCCTGCCACCTGCAGTCCCCACCCACCTCGAGCAGTCCGCCATCACAACATAATTCAGCCCATAACAGCCCAAGACTGATAGATATAAGAGCAGCACCATCCTCGGCCACCTCCTGCCACCTGCAGTCCCCCACCCACCTCGAGCAGTCCGCCACTACAACATAATTCCAGCCCATAACAGTCTGCACTGATAGATATAAGAGCAGCACCATCCCCGCCACCTCCTGCCACCTGCAGTCCCCGCCCACCTCGAGCAGTCCCGCCACTACAACATATCCAGTGCCCATAACAGTTCGTGACTGATAGATATAAGAGCAGCACCATCCCTTTCGCCACCTCCTGCCACCTGCAGTCCTCCCACCTTTGAGCAGTCCGCCATCACAACATATTCAGCCCACACAGCCCTCAGACTGATAGATATAAGAGCAGCACCATCTCGCCACCTCCTGCCACCTGCAGTCCCCCCCCACCGAGCAGTCCGCCACTACAACATAATTCAGCCCATAACAGCTCAAGACTGATAGATATAAGAGCAGCACCATCCTCTCGCCACCTCCTGCCTGCCACCTGCAGTCCCCTGCCCATTCCTGGAGCAGTCCAGCCACTACAACATATTCAGCCCATAACAGCCTCCATAACAGCCCGCACTGATAGATATAAGAGCAGCACCATCCTCGCCACCTCCTGCCACCTGCAGTCCCCCGCCCACCTCGAGCAGTCCGCCACTACAACATAATTCAGCCCATAACAGCCCGCACTGATAGATATAAGAGCAGCACCATCTCGCCACCTCCTGCCACCTGCAGTCCCCCGCCCACCTCGAGCAGTCCGCCACTACAACATAATTCAGCCCATAACAGCCCGCACTGATAGATATAAGAACAGCACCATCCTCGCCACCTCCTGCCACCTGCAGTCCCCACCCACCTCAAGCAGAAGTCCGGCCATCATAACATAATTCAGCCCATAAGAGCTCCCGCACTGATAGATATAAGAGCAGCACCATCCTCGCCACCCTCCTGCCACCTGCAGTCCCCCAGCCCACCTCGCCACCCTCCTACACTGGCAGTCCGCCACTACAACATATTCAGCCCATAAGAGAGCCTGCACTGATAGATATAAGAGCAGCACCATCCTCGCCACCTCCTGCCACCTGCAGTCCCCCGCCCACCTCGAGCAGTCCGCCACTACAACATAATTCAGCCCATAACAGCCCGCACTGATAGATATAAGAGCAGCACCATCCTCGCCACCTCCTGCCACCTGCAGTCCCCCGCCCACCTCGAGCAGTCCGCCACTACAACATAATTCAGCCCATAACAGCCCGCACTGATAGATATAAGAGCAGCACCATCCTCGCCACCTCCTGCCACCTGCAGTCCCCCGCCCACCTCGAGCAGTCCGCCACTACAACATAATTCAGCCCATAACAGCCCGCACTGATAGATATAAGAGCAGCACCATCCTCGCCACCTCCTGCCACCTGCAGTCCTCGCCCACCTCGGAAGCAGTCCGCCACTACAACATATCCAGCCCATAACAGCCCGCAGACTGATAGATATAAGAGCAGCACCATCCTCACACCTCCTGCCACCTGCAGTCCCCCACTCCACCTCGAGCAGTCCGCCACTACAACATAATTCAGCCCATACAGTCCGCAGACTGATAGATATAAGAGCAGCACCATCCTCGCCACCTCCTGCCACCTGCAGTCCCCCGCCCACCTCATGAGCAGTCCGCCACTACAACATAATTCAGCCCAACAGCCCAAGACTGATAGATATAAGAGCAGCACCATCCCCACCTCCTGCCACCTGCAGTCCCCTCAGCCCACCCCGAGCAGTCCGCCACCACAAACATAATTCAGCCCATAACAGCCTCGCGACTGATAGATATAGAGCAGCACCATCCTGCCACCTCCTGCCACCTGCAGTCCCCCCACCCACCTCGAGCAGTCCGCCACTACAACATAATTCAGCCCATAACAGCCCGCACTGATAGATATAAGAGCAGCACCATCCTCGCCACCTCCTGCCACCTGCAGTCCCCCGCCCACCTCGAGCAGTCCGCCACTACAACATAATTCAGCCCATAACAGCCCGCACTGATAGATATAAGAGCAGCACCATCCTCGCCACCTCCTGCCACCTGCAGTCCCCCGCCCACCTCGAGCAGTCCGCCACTACAACATAATTCAGCCCATAACAGCCCGCACTGATAGATATAAGAGCAGCACCATCCTCGCCACCTCCTGCCACCTGCAGTCCCCCGCCCACCTCGAGCAGTCCGCCACTACAACATAATTCAGCCCATAACAGCCCGCACTGATAGATATAAGAGCAGCACCATCCTCGCCACCTCCTGCCACCTGCAGTCCCCCGCCCACCTCGAGCAGTCCGCCACTACAACATAATTCAGCCCATAACAGCCCGCACTGATAGATATAAGAGCAGCACCATCCCATCTATTGTTAAAACAACTCCTGTACTGTACAGCCCTGTAAATGTATTCAATGTATATCATTATGTCTAAATCACATGTAAGTCTGTATATTTTATGCCACCGACTGAAACTATATTAATAAACCGTTTATTATTATTATTGCAGACAGACAGAAACAGACAGACAGACACAGACAGACACAGTGAAATACAGATAATGGAAGAGAAGAAACACTCTCTCTCTCTCTCTCTCTCTCTCTCTCTCTCTCTCTCTCTCTCTCTCTCTAACACGAAAATATTATCTTGACATTTATACAAAGAAGAAAGATATAAAGGTCAGTCTGTCTGTCAGTCTGTTCCGCTGAGGTGCACAGGGACCCAGATGTTTAGTAATAATAATAATAATTAACGGTTTATTGAAAAAGTTCTGCAGTCCGAAGGCTGAAAATATACATTGGACATAAATGACTTATTACATACATTGGTGGTTTAACAAAAGCCTTCATTAGAGAAAGGTAAAGGAACATACAGTGAACATACAGATTAATGTAGGTGTAGTAACTTCCTCCCAGATGGTGTTAGGAGGGACGTCATGTTTGGTTAGGTTAGCATTACTGTGTGCGTGTGTGTGACGTTAATACACACACACACACACACACACACACACACACCCACCCACACACACACACACACACACCCACCCACACACCCACAAACCCACACCCACCCACACACACACACACACACACACCCACACCCACCCACACCCACACACAATATATTAGACGAATATTGAAGCATAAAATCAAAATATAAAAAGTTGTTTTCTGAAGGCCGTGTTGGTAACAGGTGATGACATTGCCGTTTTTGTAAATGTCGGATAATTTTCTTTTAACGTTATTTTAATCAACAAAATGGCATTTAATATTTAAACTGTAGAATTTAGAGAAGAAATATTTTGTAGTTTGTATTTAATGAGAGTTTCCATCTCATTTACACGTAATTATAGGGTCTTTATTGTTCTTCTAGGTAACACTGGATATCATTGTTCTTATTATTATTATTATTATTATTATATCACCTCAACCTTCACAAACACACAAACTAATTCTCCTATGTTTTCCTACAGTGTCACAACTACAAGCTTGTAAGCTGTCAACAAACGCAGAGCTGAATGTATGTCTGACCCAAAACTTTCAACAACTGAAGCCATTCTTGTCAACTGGTAAATAATTATCTGTTTATATATCCTTAATGTGTATAGAATATTTATATAGTGTTTTTATAGGAGATAATCTTTGTAATAATGAGAAATTTTTATATATGATAGTTTTGTATATATACCTATTTAATTATATCGCTAACTACCCAACTACCCACAGGTGTACCGGAAATTGGCCTACCTGTCTTTGACCCAGTGTTCATCCCAAAGATGGTATTTAGTACTAGTGAAGGAGCTGTAACTGTGAATGCTTCCTTCAATGACGTTTGGGTGAAGGGAATTGCCAATTATTCAAGTGTGGCCTTCGAGTAAGACCTTGTTGAGCTGTTGAGAGAGAGAGAGAGTTTGAGGAGGAGGTTAAAATCCTCATGAAACATCAATCAATACATAAAATCAATAAAATATACAATAACTTCAATAACAACCACATTATCAACACAATAACCACATCATTACCATAAATCAGTGTTTCTCATACTAGGGGCCATGGAGAAAATGTGGAAACTCTGATTTAATTTAGTTTTTTGTTACTTTGCCTTATTAGGGAGATATATATTTTTTTAATGTCTTTTTTATTATCATTGTGTGTAATTATAATATACTGTACAGTTTTTATATGGTACAGCAGGCTCAGATTTGCATGATTCTAGTTCCTGTTCAGACTAATTCCTTGAACTCTTGACTGTATTCTGGTGTTCAATGTATCAGTCATATCACACTTAGGAGTTCTCTTACCATTTTTTACTACGTATTTATGTGAAACTAATCTAACCCTAATCACCATGCCCACAGCTCGGATGTGGGTAGGAGTCGGTTGAGCTTCAATATCCACATACCTCGACTGGATGCTCGGGGGACCTATAGCATCAATGGAAAGATTCTTATATTGCCAGTTGTCAGTTCTGGGCCTTATGCTTCAACCCTGAGTTAGTGTTAATCTGATCTTAATGTAATCTGACCTTAATCTAATCTGACCTTAATCTAATCTGACCTTAATCTAATCTAATCTGACCTTAATCTAATCTAATCTGACCTTAATGTAATAATCTGACCTTAATCTAATCTGACCTTAATGTAATCTAATCTGACCTTAATCTAATCTGACCTTAATGTAATCTAATCTGACCTTAATCTAATCTGACCTTAATGTAATCTTAATCTGATCAAATCTAATCTTAACCTAACCCGACCTGACCTGACCTGAGTAATTATTGTCATCAGCTTCAAGACTCTTAGTAATTGAGCTTCGAGACCCTTACTAATTAAGCTTCAGACCCTTAGTAATTAAGCTTCAAAACCCTTAGTAATTAAGCTTCAAGACCCTTGGTATTAAGCTTCAAGACCCTTAGTATTTAAGCTTCAAGATCCTTAGTAATTAAGCTTAAAGACCCTTAGTAATAAATATTAAAGACCCTTAGTAATTAAGCTTCAAGACCCTTAGTAATTAAGCTTCAAGACCCTTAGTAATTAAGCTTCAAGACCCTTAGTATTTAAGCTTCAAGACCCTTAGTAATTAAGCTTAAAGACCCTTAATAATAAATATTAAAGACCCTTAGTAATTAAGCTTCAAGACCCTTAGTAATTAAGCTTCAAGACCCTTAGTAATTAAGCTTCAAGACCCTTAGTATTTAAGCTTCAAGACCCTTGGTATTAAGCTTCAAGACCCTTAGTATTTAAGCGTCAAGACCCTTAGTATTTAAGCGTCAAGACTCTCGGTAATTAAGCTTCAAGTCCCGTAGTAATTAAGCTTTGACTCCCTTAATGACATCATTCTTGTTAATTGAACCTTTATTTCAGCCGGATTCAACTTTGTGGCGAGTGGTACGCTAACTGTGGTACCGACAGCTGATGGCGACCGGCTGACTCTCTCTGGAATGACAGTTGACTTCACCATAGACGATGTCAAGCTTATTCAAGGCAGCACCTCTAGCAAACAAGACATTTTACGTAAGTTTATTGACCTTTTTGGGGGTTTTTGGGGGAGAGGTTAGGTTTTTTATTATTTGATATGTGTTTATAATCAGTGTAGGTATACAGTGTACCTAGACAGTGTAGGTATATAGTGTACCTAGACAGTGTAGGTATAGTGTACCTAGACAGTGTAGGTATATAGTGTACCTAGACAGTGTAGGTATATAGTGTACCTAGACAGTGTAGGTATAGTGTGCAGGGCAGTGTGGTATATAGTGTGCCTAGACAGTGTGGGTGTGGTGTGCCTAGACAGTGTGGGTGTACGGTGTGCCTGGAGCAGTGTGGGTATGCAGTGTGCCTGAACAGTGTGAGTGTACCTAGAGATGTGGGTATATAGTGTGCCTAGACGGTGTGGGTGCTGATGTGCCTAGACGGTGTGGGTATATAGTGTGCCTGAACGGTGCTGGAGCATACAGTGCTTTGCCTAGACAGTGTGGTATACAGTGTGCCTAGACAGTCCCTTTGGGTATATAGTGTGCCTAGACAGTGTGGGTATACAGTGTGCCACAGACACCGTGTGGGTATATAGTGTACCTAGACAGTGGTATCCATAATTGCCTAGACCGTGTAGGTATACAGTGTACTGAACAGTCAATAGTATACAGTGTTACCTAGACAGTGTGGGTATATAATTATTACTGCCTGAACAGTGTGGGTATATAGTGTACTGGACGATTAATGAGTATAATTTGTGCCTAGACCAGTGTAGGTATATAATTATTGCCTAGACAGTGTGGGTATATATATAGTGTGCCTAAGACAGTGTGAGTATAAACATACTTTCAGGAGCGGTACCAGGTATATAGTGTGCCTGAACTTGCAGTGTGGGTATATAATTATTGCCTAGACGGTACAGGTATATAATTGTGCCTGAACAGTGTAGGGCACTTGCAGGTATTACCTAGACAGTGTGGGGTATATAGTGTGCCTGGGCAGTGTAGGTGCTCCACAGTGTGCTAGACAGTGTGGGTATACGAAGGTGTGCCTAGACAGTGTGGGTATATAGTGTATTACTAGACAGTGTGGTATATAGTGTGCCTAGACAGTGTAGGTATACACAGTGTACCCTGGAGCAGTGGGTATATAATTGTGCCTGAACGGTGTGGGTATACAGTGTACCCTGAACGGTGTGGGTATACGGTGTGCCTAGACAGTGTGAAAGGGTATATAGTGTACCAAGACGGTGTGGGTATATAGTGTACCTAGACAGTGTGGGTATACAGTGTACCTAGACAGTGTAGGTATACAGTGTGCCTAGACAGTGTGGGTATATAGTGTACCCTAGACAGTGTGGAGTATACAGTGTGCCTAGACAGTGTGGTATATAGTGTGTACCTAGACGGTGTGGGTATACAGTGTGCCTGAACAGAATGGTATACAGTGTGCCTAGACAGTGTGGAATATAGTGTTACACTGAACGGTGTAGGTATATAGTGTACACTGAACAGTGTGGGTATACAGTGTGGGTATATGGTGTGCCTAGACTGGTGTGGGTGCCACAGTGTGCCTGAACGGTGTGGGTATACAGTGTGCCTGAACGGTGTGGGTATACAGTGTGCCTGAACGGTGTGAACCGGTGTACTAGACAGTGTGGGTATATAGTGTACCCTAGACAGTGTGGGTATGAAGTGTGCCTGAACAGTGTGGGTATATAATTATTACCTAGACAGTGTGAGAGCAGCACAGTGTGCCTGAACAGTGTGGGTATATATGGTGTACCTAGACGGTGTGGGTGTACGGTGTACCTAGACAGTGTGGAGCTTTTACAGTGTGCCTAGACAGGCTGTGGGTATATGGTGTGCCTGGAGCAGTGTGGGTATATGGTGTGCCTCGTGACGGTGTGGTGCCGGTGTGCACAGACAGTGGGTAGCATATGGTGTGCCTGGAACGGTGTGGGTATGGTGTGCCTGAACAGTGTGGGTATACAGTGTGCCTGGGCAGTGTGGGTATATGGTGTGCCAAGACAGTGTAGGTACATACAGAGTGCCTGAACAGTGCAGCAGGAATACAGTGTGCCTAGACAGTGTGGGTGTACAGTGTGCCTAGACAGTGTGGGTATACGGTGTGCCTAGACAGTGTGGGTATACAGTGTGCCTAGACGATTAGCCAGGTATGGTGTGCCTGAACCACGGTGTGGTATACTTAGTGTGCCTAGACAGTGGAGTATATAGTGTACCTAGACAGTGTGGGTATATAGTGTGCCTGAACAGTGTGGAGTATATAGTGTACCTGAACAGTGTGGAATTTATATAGTGTACCCTGAACAGTGTGGGTATATAGTGTGCCTAGACAGTGTGGGTATCTGGTGTGCCTAGACAGTGTGGGTATCTGGGTGTGTGCTTAGACAGTGTGGGTATGGTGGCCCACACCTAGACAGTGTGGGTATATAGTTATTGCCTAGACGGTGTGGGTATACACAAGGTAATGCCTAGACAGTGTGGGTATATAGTGTGCCTGAACAGTGTGGGTATACAGTGTACTGGAGCAGTGTGGGTATACAGTGTGCAGGCAGTGTGGGTATATAGTGTGCCAAGACAGTGTAGGTATATAGTGTACCTGAGCAGTGTGAGTATGAGAAGTGTGCCTAGACAGTGTAGGTATACAGTGTGCCTGAAGAGAGTGCCTTTATGGTATACAGTGTTGCCTAGACAGTGTGAGTATATAGTGTACTAGACAGTGTCGGGTATACAGTGTGCCTGAGCAATTAATGGGTATATGGTGTGCCTGGGCTGGTGTGGGTATACGGTGTGCCTAGACAGTGTGGGTATATGGTGTACCTAGACAGTGTGGGTGTATAGTGTGCCTGAACAGTGTGGGTATATGGTGTGCAGGGCAGTGTGGGTATATGGTGTGCCTGAACCCCGGTGTAGGTGGTGTGCCTGAACAGTGGCCAGGTATGCAGTGTGCACCTGAACAGTGTGGGTATATGGTGTACTAGACAGTGTGGGTATATAGTGTGCCTAGACAGTGTGTGGGTGTATGGTGTGCCTGAACGGTGTGGGTATATGGTGTGCCTAGACAGTGTGGTGTATGGTGTGCAGACAGTGTGGTGTATGGTGTGCCTAGACAGTGTGGGTATATAAGTGTGCACCTAGACGGTGTGAGTGTATAGTGTGCCTAGACAGTGTGGGTGTATAGTGTGCCCCTAGACAGTGTGGGTATATAGTGTGCCTAGACAGTGTAGGTATATAGTGTTACTAGACAGTGTGGGTATATAGTGTACCTGAAACAGTGTGGGTATATAGTGTGCCTAGACAGTGTAGGTATATGGTGTACCTAATTCAGTGTAGGTATATATAGTGTACCTAGACAGTGTGGGTATATAGTGTACACTAGACGGTGGTATATAGTGTACATGGTATACTATGGTGTGCCTGAACCCCAGTGTGGGTATATAGAGGTAATGCCCACCTGAACGGTGTAGGTATACTTGTGTACCTGGGCAATTAACTGGGTATATGAAGTGTCGTACCCCTAGACAGTGTAGGTATACAATGTTCCTAGACAGTGTAGGTATACAGTTTACCTAGACAGTGTTGGTATACAGTGTACCTAGACAGTGTAGGTATACAGTGTACCTAGACAGTGTAGGTATACAAACAATGTACCCAGACAGTGTAGGTATACAGTGTACCTAGACAGTGTAGGTATACAATGTACCTAGACAGTGTAGGTATACAGTGTACCTAGACAGTGTAGGTATACAGTGTACCTACACAGTGTATATAATTAGTACCCTAGACAGTGTAGGTATATAGTGTGCCTAGACAGTGTAGGTATATAGTGTACCTAGACAGTGTAGGTATACAGTGTACCTAGACAGTGTAGGTATATAGTGTACCTAGACAGTGTAGGTATATAGTGTACCTAGACAGTGTAGGTATATAGTGTTCCTAGACAGTGTAGGTATACAGTGTACCTAGACAGTGTAGGTATATAGTGTACCTAGACAGTGTAGGTATATAGTGTACCTAGACAGTGTAGGTATACAGTGTACCTAGACAATGTAGGTATATAGTGTACCTAGACAGTGTAGGTATATAGTGTACCTAGACAGTGTAGGTATACAGTGTACCTAGACAGTGTAGGTATATAGTGTACCTAGACAGTGTAGGTATATAGTGTGCCTAGACAGTGTGGGGTATACAGTGTACCTAGACAGTGTAGGTATACAGTGTACCTAGACAGTGTAGGTATACAAACAATGACAAACTATATCCCACATAATACGACCAATCAAAAGTAACATAGCCACCACACGGTTCATGCCATTGGTCGGTATAACAGTATTCTTCACCGTTACAGAACAAGTGGTGAACAAATTTCTGAACACGAACGCAAAGGTAATTCTTGAAGAGATTAAACCAGCGATCCTGAGGCAAATGCTAACGTTCGGTGAAGATTTTATGAACAACATCTTGAAGCGTATTCCAGTCGATGCCGTCATCCAGAATTAGCATCCGCGTCAATCCGTCTAACGTCAATCCGTCTCGCGATTACTATTTGTAAGTTGAAGGGAAGAAAAGTTGGATTAGCCATGTGATTGATTAAAGACCAAGTGGGATTGATTGATGGATGTGAATGATGATTTTGGGGGTTTGATAAATAACCTGTAGATTAATCCTCTCATCCGTGCATTTTCTGACGGCTGTAGACGTTAATTTTATACGTATCTTTATTATTTAGACGCGTACGACATCATTTAGGGGGAAAAGATTACAGATTCTGTAGTTTTTTATGTAGTGTTATGTAGTATTGGAACTGTATTTTTGTGACTGTAGGGAACTGTATTTTGTAGTGACTGTAGGGAACTGTATTTTATAGTGACTGTAGGGAACTGTATTTTGTAGTGATTGCAGGGAACTGTATTTTGTAGTGACTGTAGGGAACTATTTTGTAGTGACTGTAGGGAACTGTATTTTATAATAACTGCAACAAACTGTATTTTTAGTAACTAGCAAACTGTATTTTTTTTAGTAACTGTAGCAAACTGTATTTTTAATATCTGTAGTGAAATGTATATTGTAGTTTATTTAGCAAACTGTATTTTGATAACTTAGCATTTATTTTGTATTTGGAAATTCCATCTATAGTATTGTAATTGATCAAAGAGTGATTTCTGATTGGTGGAGAGAGTATAGATGCCAGAATAAGTGATTTCTGATTGGTGAAGAGAGTATAAATGCCAAAATAAGTGATTTCTGATTGGTGGAGAGAGTATAGATGCCAGAATAAGTGATTTCTGATTGGTGAAGAGAGTATAAATGCCAAAATAAGAGATTTCTGATTGGTGGAGAGAGTATAGATCCCAGAATAAGTGATTTCTGATTGGTGGAGAGAGTATAAATGCCAGAACGTAGACTGTTTTGATGTTTGAGTACAGGTTTTTGTGTATATAGGTGAGAAAAAGTTCGCAGATGTTATGAAATTGGTGATTGTGTTTTGAGAGATATGTACAGGGTGTGTCATAAGTACTGCCATTATACTGTACAGGGTGCGTCATAAGTACTGCCATTATACTGTACAGGGTGTGTCATATGTACTGGCATTATACTGTACAGGGTGTGTCATAAGTACTGCCATTATACTGTACAGGGTGTGTCATAAGTACTGCCATTATACTGTACAGGGTGTGTCATAAGTACTGGCATTATACTGTACAGGGTGTGTCATAAGTACTGCCATTATACTGTACAGGGTGTGTCATAAGTACTGCCATTATACTGTACAGGGTGTGTCATAAGTACTGCCATTATACTGTACAGGGTGTGTCATAAGTACTGGCATTATACTGTGGGGTGTGTCATAAGTACTGCCATTATACTGTACAGGGTGTGTCATAAGTACTGCCATTATACTGTACAGGGTGTGTCATAAGTACTGCCATTATACTGTACAGGGTGTGTCATAAGTACTGCATTATACTGTACAGGGTGTGTCATCAGTTGCATGCAGTGTGTAGCATGGTGTGTGAACTATAACACACCCTTTACAGTATGGTAATGTGACGTTATGACACATCCTGTACAGTATGGTCCAAAATAGTGATTCTTAGTTGTATAAGCTATGAAATATGTACTTAAAACAATATAACTTAATTAATATTGGCACTAAGGTAATGTGGTTTTTGCATTAGATTACGCACCAAAAAATTGTATTCGTTCACACACTACAATAAAAATTACCTTAAAACTATTATCCACAAAGACGAAGTTTCAGATTACTGTATGAAAATAAATTCCTCGTTGGATAAAATAAATTTAATTTCTATTTTAGATTTATTTTAAAGAACTTTGATTTAAGAATGAAATAAAAGTGTTAATTTGGTTTGAGATTATTATTATTATTTTTTTTTATTCCCACGAGTTTGAGATGGAAATGGTAGTGTAGAAAGTAGCATGAATAGTATAGAAAGTGGCAAAAATAGTGTAGAAAGTGGCAAGAATAGTGTAGAAAGTGGCATTTAATACACTAGGTAAAACAAGGTAGTTACAGTGTGTCCCCAGGTTATGAACGGGTCTGTACCTGAGTCGGAACATTGGATTTGAGTTCACCTTACAGAATAATGTTTAAAATACCACTACTGTATATCACAGTCTTAAGTTCTTATATACATCTAAAATAACTTAATTGATGAGAAAAGAAGAATTAGAATGACGAAATACAGTAAATGGGAGAAATAGAATGACGAAATGCAGTAAATGAATGTGGGTGTTCGTAATTCGGAGACTTCGTGTTTTCTAATCTCTATGGGGTAACTTGTAATGTAGGTGATGGCCAGTGTGTGTTTGGAAATTTTCAATCGACTGAGTGTGTCTTGCATATCTCAGGGACCAGACTTGGCACATCACTAGCATATCTTGGGGGATTAGACCAGCACATCACTAGCATATCTTGGGGGATTAGACCAGCACATCACTAGCATATTTTGGAGATTAGACCAGCACATCTCTAGCATGTCTTGGAGATTAGACCAGCACATCACTAGCATATCTTGGGGGATTAGACCAGCACATCACTAGGATATCTTGGGGATTAGACCAGCACATCACTAGCATATCTTGGGGGATTAGACCAGCACATCACTAGCATATCTTGGGGATTAGACCAGCACATCACTAGGATATCTTGGGGATTAGACCAGCACATCACTAGCATATCTTGGGGATTAGACCAGCACATCACTAGCATAGTTTGGAGATTAGACCAGCATATCTTGGGGATTAGACCAGCACATCACTAGCATAGTTTGGAGATTAGACCAGCACATCACTAGCATATCTTGGGGATTAGACCAGCACATCACTAGCATAGTTTGGAGATTAACCAGCACATCACTAGCATATCTTGGGGATTAGACCAGCACATCACTAGCATATCTTGGAGATTAGACCAGCACATCTCTAGCATATCTTGCATCACTAGCATATCTTGGGGATTAGACCAGCACATCACTAGCATATCTTGGGGATTAGACCAGCACATCACTAGCATATCTTGGGGATTAGACCAGCACATCACTAGCATATCTTGGGGGGATTAGACCAGCACATCACTAGCATATCTTGGAGTTTAGACCAGCACATCACTAGCATATCTTGGGGATTAGACCAGCACATCACTAGCATATCTTGGGGATTAGACCAGCATCACTAGCATAGTTTGGAATTAGACCAGCATATCTTGATTATCCATACTTTTAGTTTGGAGATTAGACCAGCACATCACTAGCATATCTTGGGGATTAGACCAGCACATCACTAGCATATCTTGGAGATTAGACCAGCACATCTCTAGACTTTGGGGGATTAGACCAGCACATCACTAGGATATCTTGGGGGATTAGACCAGCACATCACTAGCATATCTTGGGGGATTAGACCAGCACATCACTAGCATATCTTGGGGATTAGACCAGCACATCACTAGCATATTTTGGAGATTAGACCAGCACATCTTTAGCATGTCTTGGAGATTAGACCAGCACATCTCTAGCATATCTTGGGGATTAGACCAGCACATCACTAGCATATCTTGGAGATTAGACCAGCACATCACTAGCATATCTTGGGGATTAGACCAGCACATCACTAGGATATCTTGGGGATTAGACCAGCACATCACTAGCATATCTTGGGATTAGACCAGCACATCACTAGCATATCTTGGGGATTAGACCAGCACATCACTAGCATAGTTTGGAGATTAGACCAGCACATCACTAGCATATCTTGGGATTAGACCAGCAGCATCACTAGGATATCTTTGGGATTAGACCAGCACATCACTAGCATATCTTGGGGATTAGACCAGCACATCACTAGCATATCTTGGGGATTAGACCAGCACATCACTAGCATAGTTTGGAGATTAGACCAGCACATCACTAGCATATCTTGGAGATTAGACCAGCACATCACTAGGATATCTTGGGGTTAGACCAGCACATCACTAGCATATCTTGGAGATTAGACCAGCACATCACTAGGATATCTTGGGGGATTAGACCAGCACATCACTAGCATATCTTGGAGAGATTAAACCAGCACATCACTAGGATATCTTGGGATTAGACCAGCATCACTAGCATATCTTGGGGATTAGACCAGCACATCACTAGCATATCTTGGGGATTAGACCCATCACTAGCATATTTTGGAGATTAGACCAGCACATCTTTAGCATGTCTTGGAGATTAGACCAGCACATCTCTAGCATATCTTGGAGCCAGACTTGGGACATATGATACGCCTCCTTATCGTTGGAACGTCCCAGGTACATCCTCTTACACTTGGTGGTATCTCAGCAGCCATTTCTTCGACTATTCTTGGGCACAGATCCTAATGCAGTTCTTCACAGTCTGTTTGGTTCTTGATTTCCCTAAATAACTTGGCGTCATCTGTAAACATTTGTATGGAGGAGTGTACAACGTCAGGCATGTCATTAATGAACCAAAACAAACAACAGGGCCAATACACTGCCCTGTGGTGCAACGTGACAGAATGCGGATGATGATTTGTGCCATTAATCACCACACACTG